TTCCCGACGGCAGAGAGGTCAGGCCGCCGAGAAGGCGCACGTTGCCCGGTGACGACAGCCCGATGGGATCCCCACCAGTTTATTTTCGCCGTCCAACATGCGAGTTTCAGTGCCACAGCAATGCCTGTCTGACCCGCTACCGCACGGCACGCAACGGGTTATCGAGCCACCGCGCTATCCCCGGGACGGGTGCGTAGCGGTGTTGTGTGCTTCACGGCCTCCGCTGCGGCTCCCACTTCGGGTGCCGGGGCTCTCTTTTACATCTCCGATCGTTGGGCGGACATGCTCTGCGATGGTGGCTGGCGTGTGGGCCTTTGTATTTATTTTAGAAGACACGAGGAATAGTAACAATATATATATATATATATATCAAAAGCGCTGAATAGATATTAGTACCGACATTTACATACCTATCTATATAAATATGCAGCCAATAAAATAGCAATTCAATAAACCAAGAAACCAAGCAATCTGTAAAATTTTAGGGGAGAGAAGGGATATATCCATATCTATACAGATGCATCAATAAATAAGAATAAATTAGCGTTTTTATACTCATATCCTTATCGATATATCTATACATTGATCGACTCTTATTTTCATATCTATACCCCTCCATGTAATTTTTTCACCGTCTTTTTTTATTTGTGGCATTTTGCTTCCGTTATATTATGTATTCTTCTCCCGTGAGTTCATTCTTACTTTTTTAGAGCGCATAGGCATTCCGTCCCACGGACAAAGTTTTATACGCACTGAAGCACCCCATCGGACAAAAGTCGCAAGGGGTTTGCGAAGCCCATCCAAATTGAATGATGATTGCTATCTTCTTTGATCTCCTGAGGAGCTGCGACGTGTGAGTGCGTTGCCCCTGCCACCCAACACAATGACAACTTTCAACGAGCAGTTTGCAGGCACATTGTGCAGTTTTCTTGAGGTGTAGCCCACACCTGTATTTTGGGAGTGAATGCACGGTGTACCTGTAGAGGATGCTGAGGGCGGCGTCAGCGAGGCATGGGATAACATGTACTCCGGAACAAGTGTGTGGCGTTGGCCAGAGGAGGTCTTGTGCCAACGGCACCACTGATTGATGGCCATTGATTTTGGGGCTTTGAGCTTCGGTGCTTTGAGGAATTGAGCGACGCTGGCTGACCAGGTGCCACTCGCCATCTGATCTCTCCTGGATATGGCTTAAAAGACGGTGTGTACGCATGCAGAGGGGGGAAAGGAAATAGGACATTGTGTGGACATGCACGTGGACGTGTCAGATCGTCACAATATCCCTCAACAAGTGTGGAGCCCCCGACTTGATGATTCGACCGTCCTGATAAAACTGTCTGGGGTGGAGGTGAGTGCGCTGACTTCCTTTTTAACAAGTTTTCCTTCACCTGACAGGCTGCGCAGCTGACGTGGAAGGACATCATGCGCACCTGATTCCGGCGGGTGCGATGCCGTTTCCCACATTTGAGGGCAACTTCCCCGGTGATTTACTCTGCCATCCTCACTTGTTTCCCTTGACGACACGACGCAACGCGGGGTTGGTGCTGAGCGACGAAGGCCTTCCGTCTCGCTTGGAACCAAAACGGAGAGCCCATGAAGAGGCATGCTGCTCGCGACTGGTTGATGCTTTGCCTGGGAGGAGTCTGTTTGCCACCGTGGAGCATCTCTCATTCGCTTGATTGCAGAGCCCTCTACACATTACACAGGCCTCGTGCTCCTGAGTAATGCCGATAAGGGCGGATCGCATGGTGGTGTTTTATTGCTGGAAGGCTCTGTGAGGAGGAAAAATATTATTTATTCTTTCTTCTTCCTGGACGAGACGAATCCGTTCTTTAATTCAAGTACGAGTGCGTTGTCGCAGTTTTTGTTGGCCGTTGGTGGCTTTGGTGTTTATTCCAATCAATGGCTCTCACTGGCGATTCCAAGGCCTAATATCGACTGGCGTTGTCGTTCTTGGGCCCACGTTGCTTGGCCCATCAATTATTTGTGCAACTGGACAACAAAGTTCCCTGTGAGCGTGGATCATGTTTCGCGGAATATGGCCACAACAGCTGCTGACCGGGCTGGTGGTTGTTGCGTCCTGCATGACTCTGACGATGTTCTTGTGGATTTCACTTTTTTGCGTGTAAGTGATGTTACATCTGTTCCTCGTCGTGTGGCAGAGGCCTGAACAAACGGAGGATAGGGTGTTGTGATGAAACACAGCACCGACAACCCTCGTGTTGCTCATCTTTATGCTCGTTTTCACTGCGGTCCTCGACGTGGGAAAATTTTATTTTGTGCGGTATGGAGAGCACTCATCCGGTGGCATATCGCCGTGTGGTGGTCTCTGGTTTAAAGGACCCTGTGGAATAGTTTGTGAGGGCGAAGGGTGATGGCAGGACCGTCGTGCCCGCACAGAAGGAGACGAGAACAGGGTGGTTGATGTGCTTTTTAACATTGCGCTTTCAATTGCGTCATTGGATGCGTGCAGAGCAGGTGGCTCTCCGGTGTCTGTTGGCTTCACGGCCAACCCGCTGGCCCCTTCTGAAGGGCATTCAAGAGCATTTGTCCTCTCAGGGAGTTTCTTCTGTGTGGTCCGCACACTGCAGTGTCTGCTCCATTGGGCCTTTTCTTTGGTGAGAGGATGGTCTGTTGCACTTCTTGGACCTTTTTGGAGGGGGAGGGTCATGGGGCAACATGCCCACCGTTTCGGTGTTGGCGCACCACGTACTTGTGGCCGCGTTACGCAGGAGGCATGATCCTTTGTGGCACGATGAAAGCAACGTGGTCTTCTCCTTTTTAAGCAATGAACGGTCTTCTTTTTATGTTGTTTAGGTGTCTCTGCTGGATGGCGAGTCTACAAATGGTTGCGAGGGATGTGCGGCTGCAGGGTTTGAGTGCCGCTTTTGGTTTTTTTTCTGACGGGCGGTGTTTAGGAATTACAGGCGCTTGCAGATGTCATTGCCGGTGTGAGGGCAGGTGTTTCAGCCACCCGAGGCGCGGCTGTTGGGAAAACGAGTTTCACTCTTGCGGTGGAGGCAGGCATCAAAGAGGCGAATGTGCGGGCTCACCACCCTACTTTCTGTACTGTTTTGCCGCGACGACTGGATCTGATCGCCAGCCACATTTGGCCGTTGCCATGTGGCCGCAACGTTTTCCCGAAGCGGTCGAGAGGCCGCAGGAAACGGCAGTTGTATTCACCCGTGGAAGTGTCACGGGGGAGGAAAATGCGGACCTTTCGGCATCTAGCATCTCGCTGCCTTTTGATGCCATATTCGGTGAGTCCGTGGGTGCTGTATGACGCTCCTGCCTTTTACTGGATGATTGGAACTGCTGAAATGTGGAGGGTATTTGCTGCGCCTTCTTTCGCTATCCTTGTCGCACGCCGTGTTCGAGATGGTTTCGATTGCTGCATTGCATGGGGTGCTGCAAGGCGATACTTTATGCCACGCGATTGTGTTGTGGGTGCCATGCGGTGGAAATATTTGACGTCGTTGAGGTGCCCTTGGAGGGTGGGAGTGGCGATCCTCCGGCGCGGGTGATCACTGACAGGTTCACACGCCCCTTTGAATTTGCTGTCCCTTCTTTGTACTTTCATGAACTGACCGCGGATATTGCCGAATATATTCAGGTTGCTGCGGTGCTCCATACATTCAAGGTGTTGTCCTCCGCGCCGTCAACCTCGGCAGTTGATTGACCGGTTTCTTTGAAGGATTCGGGAGGAGGATTCGTTCAATTTGTTCCGCGGCTGGAGTCTATTCCTTCATTTCTGTCAGTTAGACACGCCCACACCGTTACTTTGCGTTCTCGTCCCTCAATGGGAGGAAAGGGTGATGACGAACCCCGAGAGACGGTGGCTCTTTTTGTTGCATCGCTGAGTCATCGTTTAGCGGCAGTTGATGCATCAGCCCTTCCTGAGGGTCGGCGACAGAAACTCCGTGGCTGAGACGATTTGGATGGGAGTTCACAGGGGCAGAATGCGCGCCTTATTTCCGTGCTTATGCCGATGGAATGCAAGTATTCGTTCCTTCCCGTGATGCCTCGTGTGTGCCATGACACTCCATTGAGGAGAGCACGAGGCGTTAGTGTCCATTTTATTTAGTTAGGCGCCACGGCTCTTTTTAGGTGTGTGATTCGACTGTGTGGTGGGTCGGTTGAGGGGGAGTACGTGAATGGGCCGCGCTCACCCGACTGCTGCGCCTCATTTTTCTGAACGCCCGACCAAATTGCTGCTCTCCTTTTGCTTGCTTCACCGGGCCTGGCGACCCCCTGAGGAGCGGTGCGACGGCGTGGACTGTCGGGCTACTGAGGAGGCCGTGGCTGCGCAGGATGTCCTGCGGAATTTTTCTACGTTTCAGGACTACTGTAGAGAAGAGGACATTTCATGCCTCCTCCACGTCCAGGAGAGTAAATGGAGGGACCGCGGTTGTGGGATCTCACCTCACGAGTGTCTGCGCTCGTTGATCGCGTCGACGGTGCGCTCTGTGTGTCTTCGACCACTGCCGAGACATCCCGCCGTGTTTCTTCCGGTGAACGGGAAAATCCACCGACACTTCGAGGGGGTTGCGGGGGATATTGCAGCGAGGAACGCTTTAAAGGTCCTGCAGTGAGGGAGCGGTGCTTGCAAGGACCCCGCAGCACTTGGGATTCTGCTCGCTTCTAATTTCTCCTGGCTTTCTGTTGGTTGGTGCTGTTTGCCGGAGGGAATCTTGGCCCGTGCGCAAACGTCAGTGTCTCTGCTTCTGTGTGTGGCCTCACAGTGCCTGAGCCGTTGTTGACGGGGAGAGTAATTACTGTGGCGGTTACGACGAAGCGGATGTGTCACGCCGTGAATAGTGTTGCCACCCACTCACCCGCCACGTCCTGTTTTGGTGATTTTTAAACTTTAATTTGATTTCTAGCACACAAACACACTTAGGCTACGAAGAAGGAAGCAAACAAGCGCGAATCGCTACTGTGAAATTCGAAGGCTCTGAAAGGACCAACAACAGCACACATCGCCCACACACACACATATTTATATGCTCTCACGTGTTGCTGCAGTGAAGGCACCCCGCACACACAACCGTCGCCGCGTGACCGGATCCAGCGGAGGGAGGAGGGAAGGAAGAGAGAGTGAGCGGCAGAGGCCCAACATGTCCCGGCACCTCTTTTATTCAGCGGTGCTGCTCCTCCTTGTCGTGATGATGTGCTGCGGCACAGGAGGTGTTCACGCGGAGGTGCAGCCATCTCAAACAAATTTTGAATGGAAGGACATCCCTGAGGATGCAACTGTGGAATTGTTGGGTGTTCCCGGCCTTTTGAAAGTGGGGAATGACGTATTTGCCGTTGCCGAGGCGCAGTGCAAGAAAGGTGAAGAAACCTTTACTGGCATTGCATCCCAACTTCTCACGGAAAGAAGGGATAACACACCGGAGAAAGTACTAAATAATCCCAAAGATGAGACAAAATTACTGGAGGAAAGCATTTCTGAAAAGGTGAAGAAAGTGGATGTGAGTCGACCAACAACAGTTGTGAAGGGAAGTGATATTTACATGCTTGTTGGAATCTACAGCAGCAAATGTGCCGTTACTGGTCAGGCCTCTGCTGCGGCTCAATGGGGACTTTTGCTAGTGAAAGGAAAGGTCAGTGTTGTGGACAGTAACAAAAGAGTCCATTGGAACGATATTGTGGATATTCCATGCATTTCTAATTTCCAACAAGAAGAACCTTTGACAGCACTGATTGGCAGCGGCGGATCGGGTGTTACGATGGAGGAAGATACGCTTGTGTTCCCAGTGGAAGGAACGAGGAAGCTAAAAAAGGAGGGAGACACAGAAAAGGATGGAAAGACCGTTTCGCTGATTATGTACTCTTCGGATAATAAGAACTGGAAGCTCTCGAAGGGGATGTCTGCCGATGGCTGCAGCGATCCCTCCGTCGTGGAGTGGGGGAAGGACAAAAAACTCATCATGATGACTGCGTGTGATGATGGCCGCCGCAGGGTGTACGAGTCCGGTGACAAGGGGGACTCGTGGACGGAGGCACTCGGGACACTCTCGCGCGTGTGGGGCAGCAAAAAGGAACGGATGAAACGTGTTGGGAGCGGGTTCATCACAGCGAAGATTGAGGACAGGAATGTGATGCTCGTCACTCTGCCGGTATATTCAAGTAAGGACGGAGAAGGCAGTGAAAAGGAAAAAGGTAAACTACATCTTTGGCTGACGGACAATACGCACATTGTTGATATTGGGCCGGTATCCGATGATGACGCTGCCGCCAGCTCCCTGTTGTACAAAGGCGGTAAAGATAAGGAGGAGGAGTTGATTGCACTGTACGAGAAGAAGGCCGAAGGGGAGAAACCATCACTCGGTATGGTCTCTGTGCGTCTGACTGCGCAGCTGGAGCGGGTGAAGGAGGTGCTGAAGACGTGGAAGGATGTAGACAGCCGTTTCTCCCAGCTGTGCACCACTTCACTTGCTCTGAAGGATCCCTCAGCTGACAATGCCTGCAGCGCTGATAAGATCACGGATGGGCTGGTTGGCTTTTTGTCCGGCAGTTTCTCTGGTGACACATGGAAGGACGAGTACCTCGGAGTGAACGCCACAGTAAATAAAGGAACGGAATTAACAGAGGCAACCGGGGCCGCAAAGGCGGAAGATGGCGTGAAGTTCCAGGGAGCGTGGGCGGAGTGGCCCGTTGGCAGGCAGGGGGAGAATCAGCTGTACCACTTTGCGAACTACAACTTCACTCTTGTGGCGACGGTGTCCATCGACAAGGTGCCGGAGGGAGATAACACTATTCCAGTGATGGGTGTGCATCTGGAGGGTAAAGACAAACTTATGGAGTTGTCGTACGACAGAGAAAAGAAGTGGCGGGTGCTTTGCAGTGACGGCAAGATCAAGAAGCTCAAAAGTACTTGGGAGACACGGACACAGTACCAAGTCGCCATTGTGCTACAGAAAGGCACCCATGGCACCGCGTACGTTGATGGTCAGCGTGTGTGTGGGGATGCGCAACGTAACTTAGATAATACGGAATTGAAAGGGATATCACACTTCTACATTGGAGGCGATGGAGGCGGCGCAAAGAACAAAGAAAGCCGAGAAGCCGTGCCTGTGACTGTGAAGAACGTCTTTCTGTACAACCGTCCGTTGACTTTTTCAGGTGGGAATGCCAATTTGGAAGAGGATGCCGATTCACCATCAGCGGAAGGTGCTTCTCCATCCGTGTCAGGGGATAAAAAAACGCCTCCTGCAGGTAAACCTTCTGAAGATCCAGTGGTGCAAGCGACCTCGCAGCAGCCTCAACAAGAAATTAAAGCAGAGCAAATGACAACGGTGGGAAAATCTGCCACTACACAAGACGTGCCGGCGAATACATCGCAGGGAAGTGTGGAGAAGGCGGCGGCTTCGAAGTCTCATGCCGTTGGAGAAGCAACGGGTGATGCTGGCACCATGCGTGGGAGCGGACTGCTGCCATCGCCGCTGCTTCTGTTGGGACTGTGGGGGTTTGCGGCTCTGTGAGGCGTGACTGGCTGCCGCGTGGAGCACTTGCGACCTCCCCAGCACGGAATTAATTCCAAGAACTAACTTCTTCCTTAAGATAATTTTTAATTTATTGCTTTCTGTTTGTAATTCATCTTTTTTTTTTTTTTGTTTTTTAATGTTTTAATTTTTTTTTTTTCATTTTTTCCTTCTCACTCCCCCATCCCTCCTCTTTTTGCTTTTGGGGCAATCACTGTGGACGTTTTTTTTCTTTTCTACTCTTCCCTCTTTCAATTGTCTCTTCTGCACTCTTCCTGTGAGGAGTGCCGTGTGTTTCCCGCCCAACTGCTCCACTCGCACACCCACCGACACGCTCATGACGACGGCCCTGTGCGCCTCGCCTGCTGCACGCATGAGGAGGGGCCGCGACGAACGGCGCGCTGAGGGAGCCGTGACGTGTGGGCGTGCGACGAGGGCCTGTGGGGCGGAGCACACATTTCTTTCCCTCTTGTTTTGTTTTTATTGCGGCCAGGGCGGGCAGACACCCGCAGCGCCACACACACACAGCCACGCCCTGCCGCCGTGTTTTTCTTTTGTTTTGTTTTGTTTTGTTTATTCGATGGATGTGGTTTGCCGCCACCGTGCGTGATTGTTGACGTTGGGGCCGTGCCGCATGTATCGCTGCCGTCCAGCTGTGCCTCTTGCTGTGTTGATGATGTGCCTCCCTGTGCTTCTCTTCTCTTCTGCTACTCCAGCACACACACACACACAAAGGTAGTTGCACAGTGCTCTGCAAGAATGCTCTTGGCGACGGCGGGACGCAAGCCAACGTTCCGTGCCGAGATGGCGAGGCCGCTGCGTGTGTGCCTGCTGTGGGAATCACGGTGCCATTGGATGGATGTGTGTGGGATGCCTTTTGCATTGAGTTTGTGGCCGGCTGACGCGGCTGCACGATGTCCGCCATGCGAGAAAGTGTTGCCTGCTCTTGGGGTCATTCTTCTTTTGCCTCTGTTTTTGCACTTCCGGTTGTGGGCGTTGCTCAGTGTGTGCTGACGCGTGACGGACGGTGCCACGATGGCCTCCTCCGGCGATGACAGTCGCTGTGCTCCTGGCACACATCCACACACAATTCCTTGTCTTTCTGTCGGTGCTGGACGCGTTGAAGGTCGATTACAGCCACACGGACACCCGCACGGTTGCTGCGCCGTAATTCCTCCAGCACTGCGATGCCGCCGGCTACACGACGTTGTGGTGCCACAAAAAGTACAAGGACAACAAGCTGCAGTGCATGACGGCCAACCTGATCCGCGTGTGGTTGCAGCGCATGGAGCACGTGCGCCAGTACGCGTTGGGCGCTGCGCTTCTGATTGGAGAGGAGAAGCGGCACGACATTGTGGCGCTGTGTGTTTTGTGGCGGCCGGGGCATGCCGGCGATTGTGAGGATGTGGAGGACACGGAGCTGTTAAACTGAGAGGAGGTGGCGGACGTTGCGGCGCAGCGTGAGCGCATGACGGACTGCCTGTGCTGGGAGGGCCCGACGATCCCGAGGCCTGTGCTGGAGGGTCTGAGGAAAGAGAGTAACAGTAATGGTGACTGTAGGGTGTGAGGAACGGTGCAGTGGTGAGGAGCGCTCCTCTTTTGCTTTGTTTTGGTTTTTGTTGAGCGGCGCCCATCTAATTGTTGTTGTGGTGGTGCGTGGCTCTTTTCGCTGGATTGGACGGTGCGTGGCTGTGTGACTTGTCTCTCTCTCCTTGCTTTGCGTTGACGGGGAGTTTGTTTGTGCTGAAGGCTACACGCAAGTGACAGGAGTGATGATGGCGATGATGATGACTGGCCGTGTGCTGCTGTTGGTGTGTGCCCTCTGCGTGCTGTGGTGCGGCGTTTCGGTGGTGATGGCGTCCAATGTTGGTGGTTTTGCTCTTCACGCAGACATCAGCGTTTTGTTTGGCCGGTGGTATTCCTTGATGATGAGAGATTGTGAAAGTACTTCAGCGTTCAAAAACGGCACGGTGAATGAGTCCGCAGTTGGAGAATGCAAACGTGAAGCGAAAAAGGCCCTTTGTGACTTTTTTTATGGTGACCATTCGGGTGAACATGACGCATCTCATTTGCACTCTATTTGTTTGCCGGATGTTGGCACCGGAGGGGCTGTTGATCAGCAGGCACAGGAGCAAATCTCCACGTTGCGTGAAACAGGAAAACCGGCACCTCCAACAACTCCACAGGGTCTATCAGAAGAATTGCCGGACCCACCACCAATACCGGCATTGGAGGGAACACCGGCATCTGCAGGAGCCTCTTCACAAGCACCACCCATCCAAGCATCAACGGAACCAACAGTAACCGCAAAACAAGCAGAGCCCAACACTGCGGGCTCGGTGCCGCCGACGCAGTCACAGGGAGGACCAGAGACAATGCGTCCACCTCAAGAACCTCCAAAATTATCCAGTATACCCGACACAGGTACCCAAAGGGATCCACCAACTGAGGATCGGGCGGAACAAACATTATCCCCAGCAAAAGCCAATGATAATTCCAACGATTACAATGAAGAGGACACTGCGGAGGAAAGCACCATTGATACTCCAGCATCAGGTGCTGTGCAGAAAGAAGGAAACGAAAGTGAAACACCGGGCAGCGGTTTGAAGAAAACAAAAACACCGCACACTACAGTTGAAGGAAGTAACACAGTAAAGCCTGGCGACGGTGAGAGCAGCCCCACGGGTCCTCCCGCCGGAGAGTCAGACGCTGCCACAACCACAACCACGAACAATCATGATCCGCGTAGCCTCAACAACAATGGCAACAATACATTCACAGAAGAAGTGGATCAGAAGGAAGCAACAAGAAAACCCAAAAACGCACCAGACAGCACTGACACTGCAGCAGCCAAGAGTGAGGCATCCGCAACAGCCATAAACATCTCCACTAACACAACAAAAAAAACAACCACCGGCGACAGCAGCACCGCTGTCTCCCACACCACCTTCCCTCTTTTGCTTCTTCTTGTTGCGTGTGCGGCTGCTGCTGCGGTGGTGGCCGCGTGAGAGTGAGTGAGAGAGAGCCGTGCACCGCCCGCACACACACTCGTCCTTCTCTCACTCTCTGTGTGTGTCCCCTTGCATGGACTCTCGCCCTCACCTCATCCCACAAAGCACACACATAATGTGCCCATTGTATATATGCATGCACACCCATGCAGGCCCGTTGGTGCTCTCTTTTGCACGACACGCACCGCTGCCGTCCTGCCTGGCTGCATGGGCGGAGCACCGTAACTGTTTCTGTTTTGTTTCCATTGCATTGAGTGGGCGACCTCTCTCTCTCTCCCTGTGTGTGTGTTTTGCTTTACGGGAGCAATGAGATTGTGTGCTGGTCGTCCCACGCTTCGGCTTTTTGTTTTGTTTTTTTCATTGTTTTACTTGTGTTGTGGTTGAGTGCACCGATTCTGCCTTTTTGATTTGCGGCATGCTTTGACTGCATATGACTGAATATTTCTTTTTGTTTTCACATCGTTTATCCTGCTGAGGAAGTGGCAGCTACTCGTATTCTTGTAAAGCCACCGCGTTTTTTCTTCCAAATAAGCCATGCGGCAGTTGATGCACGTCACCCCACACTTGACTGCAGCGGTTTTGGTGCTGCCTGTGATGATGCCTGCGACGCGATTGCCAGCGGGTGCTTCGTTGTCACTCTGGTGTATTCTTTTTTCCTTCACAATGTGGTGCGTACCGACGGTGCGTGGGCGTCTCTGGTGATAGTGAAGGACGTGCGCCTCAAAGCGCAGGAGATGCGTTGCAGGTGTAGCACGTCGTTTTAAATAGCCAATGGGCGTCTGTTCCTGTGAAGGCGACAACAACGGCCCGGATGGCAGCAGGAGGCACTGCGGCTTTGTTTTGTGTTGCACGGCGGCTTTATTTAACAGTGCATTTGATGTTAATTTTGTGGGACTTTTGTGGGAGAAGGCGGGAAGTTGAGGGCATGAGGACTGAATTCATTTGAGTGGCTGCGTTCCGTTGAATTGCGGCCAGTCGCGGCATTCTTTTTGGTGTTTGGCAGCCCGTCTCTTTTGTTTACTTCCCACTGCAGCACGTGGATAACACTGATCCGAATAACATTTGTTTGACCGCGTGTGAGCTGCTGCCGTGCGTGGTGCGTGGACTATGTGATTGTGTGGGGAGGTGCATTGGAGTGACGAATACTTCTGTTTGGCGTGTCGCGGTGTGTCGGAATGATGTTCGGATGACATGTGAAGGGTGTTGTTTGTGGTTTGTGTGTCTTCTCTGGTGGAGCCGACATGTGTGCGGGATTGTGGCATTGCTGGCTGACAGTTCCACGTCACTTTTCGGCATTCCTGGATGTGCTGAGGAATGACGGCTGGCGGCCAGCGTGTTGGTGCTGCTGGTGGGAATAAGTGCATCGGGAATGGGCCGTTTTCTCTTTTCCATGCTGGAGCCGATGGACTGGCATGAGGGCACCGGCTGCAGGCTGCCTGCCAGCACGTGTGAGCAGCGGATGCATGCACACACCGACGCCCATTGCAAGAGCGTGTGCGATCACAGTGGCCTTTTGTGGCGTGCTTTTGTGGGCGTCAACCCGTCGAAGAATGTGTGAAACAAACGGCTGACTGCACACGAGGAAAATAAGTGCGTGCACTGTGCCGTGTTTCAGCGTCGATGGCAGAGCAGGAGGAAGCCCGTGCTGGCAACTGAGATGTTTGCGTCGCGAGGGATGTCGGTGTTGACTTTGGATCGTCGAGGGTGAAGCGATTTTGCTGCTGCCCGTGTGTGTGGCCACTCCGGCAAAGGGCGGACACAAAAGGGAGGGATGCAGGCGCTGCGTGTGTGTGCAGGTGCCATGCAACAACGCCACAGCAAACGTGCTGCGACTCGGTGGCCCTTACATCGCTGTGGTCCTCACGAACAACCGAGGCACGGCCCACACCGATGCACTTAGTGGACGGAGTGAGGCATCTTTTGAGGCGCAGCAGGGAACAGGATGTGTTGACGCAGCCACGACGTGCATGGAGTGTCACGATGGCACAGTCAGCTGTGGCTGGTGGAATATTTATTTCTCGGAGGCAACAGAGAGAGAGAGAGAGCTGCTCCTGCTGTTGCTGGCGTCTTTGCTGCCTTTTGTGGCCTCCCATGCCGATTATTGTCTGTCCGCTGATCATGGGTGGTGTGCCTCCACTAGTGACGTCGTCTGCAGGCATTTCACAGCACCAGTGAAACACACATCACGTCGCATGCTTTGGCTGTGGATATGGTGTCGTGAATGCAGCCGGCATTATTTTGCCCGACTCCTTTTCACTGCTTTGCGACAAATAGATGCGTCCCCGCCCGAGTCATTCACTGCAGCACCCTGTGTTGTACTGCCAGCACAAGACTCTCCTCTTGTTGTATGACGCCTGGCTGACAGTCCAACACCACTGCGTTGGGACATGCAAGGATGTGGACTGCCGCTCACGGTGTTGGGCACCGCTGTTTGGATGCGGCGGCCACACGAGCGGATGTATTGTGGCACAATCAAATGCGTGAAATACGCGGAATCACAGCGGCTGCAATAATATCAGCGGTGTGGCACCACGGAATGTGTGTGAGGGAGTGATGCATGATGAATCACAGTGGGTGGCATGCGAGGGAAGTGCACCGCGACGGAGCGTCATCCCGCCCTCAGCCTGCAGGGGAATGTACGCCCACAAAATATATGGACGAGACACCACCAAACACACATGCCCTTCCATGCACCAATAAATAGGAGCGAAGGTGCGCTCTGGTGTGTGGGAGTCCACTCACATATTTTCATTTCCACCGCAATAAACGGTGAGGAATCAGGTGCCACAGCAACGAAAGGAAAACAAAAGCATGTATTGCAACACTTTACCAGCGGAAGGCAGGAACAACAGAAACCCAATTGTTGGCTGCACCAACACAAGCAACATTCACAAGAGGAAAGAAAAATTGTGCACCCTGCAGGAATCCCCAACACACGACCCAGGCATGAAGGTTTGCCCTCCGCAAAAACAACAACAAAAAAAGAACATATGCGGACATCGGCCAACATTAAACAGAAACACAAATAAATGGTTGCTTGCTTTATTCCATTCCTTACGCCCATATTTTTTTGGTTGTGCTGCTGCTGCGGTGGTGGCCGGGCCTGCATGAAGTGGTGTGCGTCGGATATGAACGAAGGCCAAACACAACTGAATTATTTTGTGATGAATATTGGCTGCACTTCCCGTGGACCAACAATCCACGTGGTGTGCGGGGATCTCCTTTTTTATTGTTACTTTGCTTTTGTGTTGCTGTGTGCGCTGCACCTCCTCTTGTGTGTGTGCGTACCCTCCGTGAGGAGTGCCGACACGACGGACCGCTCTCGCCGTGTGTACATGCGGTGGAGCCTTGTGTGCCGCTCCTGTTTGCTTCTCCCTCTTCCATCTGTGTGTTGGTGTTGCGGCAGGGCTGTGTGTGTGTCTGTGTGTCTGCTGCCGTGGATTGGAATGTGTGTCGTGCGTGGTGTGCGGCGTACGGTGCATGCCTGGCTGCTGCCCTCTCATGTGGTGTGCCCTCTGTGTGTGTGTCTGCCGCACCTCTCGTCTCCCCTGTTGCTCTCCATGTCCCTCACTGTGCAGATCAGCTCCACACCACTGAACGACCACACTCACGATGATGACGACGTGCCGTCTGCTGTGCGCCCTGTTGGTGCTCGCCCTGTGCTGCCGCCCGTCCGTGTGCGGGACAGCAAATGATATTCAATTGTCAAAAAAATCCAGTATGCCGCCCACACCACCAAAGAATCCTGAGGGTAAACCCGATGACGGTCAGGATTCAGTGGAAAAACCCGTTTCGACACAGCGACCAGGTAAGGTCATTGTGGGAGTGGAACCAGTTGTGTCGTCTACTAAGCAGGGAGTTACAAGTGCGTCTGATCAGTCAGGGAAAGATGGTGAGAACACCAATCTGATAGGTTCAAAGGTTAATTCCGGTAATTCGGTGGTACGTAATTCAGAAAATAATACGGAATTGTCAGAACCTAATGAAGAGGTTAAGTTACAGATACCAAATACAACTACGACCACTACGACAAAGGCACCCACTACAACTACGACTACGACCACTACGACCACCACTGCGCCAGAGGCACCAAGTACTACAACCACAGAGGCGCCAACCACGACGACCACCCGCGCACCGTCGCGTCTTCGCAGGATCGACGGCAGCCTCAGCAGCTCTGCGTGGGTGTGTGCCCCGCTGCTGCTCGCCGCATCCGCGCTGGCGTACACCACTCTGTGCTGAAGAAATGTGCGTGCTGTGCGTGACAGCACTCAAAGCCACGGGGACATGTGTACGTCTACTTTGGTCCGATTTATAAAGTAAGAGTAATTATGATGATTGTTTTTTTGCTTTGCTTGCTTCTGCTGCTCTGCTGTGTGCTCCGCGTTGTGCCCCACATTCGTCATGTTGAACGCATCCCAGACACACTCGTATGCATGCGCACTGGAGCCCTGGTTAGTTTTTTTAATTATTGTTTTTTTATTGCTTTTTAAACTTCTGGTTTGCGGGGCGGTGTGCGAGCTCTGCAATCGTACTGATTCCATCTGTCTCATGGTGTGTGCGCTGCTGCAGCTGGGGTGCTGCCATTTGTTACTGGATGGGCTGCTAGTGTTTTTTACTGTGCATTGTTTTTTGCTGCCTTCACTCTGCGTTGACGAGGAGTTAGTTTGTGCTGAAGGCTACACGCAAGTGACAGGAGTGATGGCGATGATGATGACTGGCCGTGTGCTGCTGGTGTGTGCCCTCTGCGTGCTGTGGTGCAGTGCCGGCTGTAGGTGTGACGAGGAGGAGGATACGGCACTTGTTGGGGATTTACCTGCTAATTCTGAGAGTGGTTCTGGAGGTCCCGAAAAAGACACCGATCATACGGTGCCTGGTGGAGCGGAAAACCCTTCTGCACAGCAATCACAGCTGAATAAGGTTAGGGGTTCGCCACCCGGGATATCGTCATTGGAAGCTCCCTCAGAGGTTGAATCAAAAAAAAGGCAGACGCAATCCGACCCCGAACATACGGATTTACTGTCACCTTCAAAATCATCGGGAGAACAGCGGCAAGATGGAACACCCGAACGTGCACCGGGAAGACCGGAGACTTCACCCAATCAGGAGGACAATAAGGATGTATCAATTGTAAATCAACAGAATATTGATCCGCCATCTCCTTCAGGTAACGACGATGTCGTCAGCCATAATAGTGGGGAGCGCACAGAAGATACTCCGAGCAGTACTGAAATTATTGATGCTGCACCGTCAGAAGAAGTAGAAAAACGTGAAAATGTCATTCCTTCCTTGGAACAACCTCGGGGAACTTCCACAGCCGCACCGGCCATTACCACTCAAACAAGTTCCACGACACCGACTGACGTTGGTGAGAGCAACACCGTCAAAATGAGTGAGGCATCACCCAAATCAACAGGAACTAGTCAAACAGATCATACGACGACAAAGATTGCCAACAGTGACGGCAGCACCGCGGTCTCCCACACCACCTCCCCTCTTTTGCTTCTCCTTCTTGTGTGTGCTTCTGCGGCTGCGGTGGTGGCCGCGTGAGAGTGAGTGAGAGAGAGCCGTGCACCGCCCGCACACACACTCGTCCTTCTCTCTCTCTCTGTGTGTCCCCTTGCATGGACTCTCGCCCTCACCTCATCCCACGAAGCACACACATAATGTGCCCATTGTATATATTGCATGCACACCCATGCAGGCCTGTTGGTGCTCTCTTTTGCACGACACGCACCGCTGCCGTCCTGCCTGGCTGCATGGGCGGAGCACCGTAACTGTTTCTGTTTTGTTTCCATTGCATTGAGTGGGCGACCTCTCTCTCTCTCTCTCCCTGTGTGTGTGTTTTGCTTTACGGGAGCAATGAGAGTGTGTGCGCTGGTCGTCCCACGCTTCGGTTTTATTTTTCTGTTTTGTTCTTTTCATTGTTTTACTTGTGTTGTGGTTGAGAGCACCGATTCTGCTTTTTTGATTTGCGGCATGCTTTGACTGCATATGACTGAATATTTCTTTTTGTTTTCACATCGTTTATCCTGCTGAGGAAGTGGAAAATACTCGTATTCTTGTAAAGCCACCGCGTTTTTTCTTCCAAATAAGCCATGCGGCAGTTGATGCACGTCACCCCACAGTTGACTGCAGCGGTTTTGGTGCTGCCTGTGATGATGCCTGCGACGCGATTGCCAGCGGGTGCTTCGTTGTCACTCTGGTGTATTCTTTTTTCCTTTACAATGTGGTGCATACCGACGGTGCGTGGGCGTCTCTGGTGATAGTGAAGGACGTGCGCCTCAAAGCGCAGGAGATGCGTTGCAGGTGTAGCACGTCGTTTTAAATAGCCAATGGGGCGTCTGTTCCTGTGAAGGCGACAACAACGGCCCGGATGGCAGCAGGAGGCACTGCGGCTTTGTTTTGTGTTGCACGGCACCTTTATTTAACAGTGCATTTGATGTTAATTTTGTGGGACTTTTGTGGGA